TCTACTCTGTCTACATCAGAAAATATTGTTTATTTGGTTTCAAATTTCAGACTATATGTGCTATAATACTCTAAAATGAAGTGGTTATAGGAATTTTGCAGGCTACATAGGTCTGAAGTTAAAGATACCTAAATAAAAGACGTTAGAGCATGACATTTTTCAAGGTCGGGTGAAAATCTTTTGGAAATTACTGATTTTGAAATTTTGATTGAAAATATCGGTATATTATTTATGATCATACAAAATACACAATTTAGAATTACAAAATACATTATTTTGGCAGTGTTTGTGAATAAACGTGTCCATAAAAAAAAAGTTCTTTTCAATCCTAGATAAAAAAACAAAAAAAAAAAACAGATGCATTTGTATAAATGTTTTTACATACTTAATAGTTTGTAAACAGTTTTTGAATGTCTGTGGTCAAAAGTATGTAGTTCTGGATTGGCTTTAGAATATCAGACTGTTAAAATAGTGCGCAGAATAAAACATACCAAAACAAAAATATTATTATTAACAAACATATAAACTGGTCTTTTGAGATCAGCTGCATATTTATAGAAAATATATTCAAGCAAGTCAGAGGTGTTTTGTGAATAATGCTGGATGATTAATAAGTAAGCAACACTTCGAAAAATAGCTTGCCAGGTTTATTTTTGTGTGGTTTGATGAGTGTCAAAAAGTTTACTGTTTTCTAACTTGCTGACATCAGTTATTGCCCAATTATATTTCATATATTTAACAATATATTCTAAAAACGGATACTCCGAGTTGGTACATTTTATATGAATAGATAATAATAAATATTTGCTTCGAAAATGTCAATGCCATTAGAACAAAACTATGTGGAAGTAATTTAGTATTAGTATTCGTTTATATGTAAACTAGCGCAGCCGCCTAATTTTAAAATCAGATACAGATTTTATAAAAATTGGAATTTTCTTAAAATCCATCGAAGATAGAAATGTATAGAGAATTACTTGGATCAAAATAGATTTTATGCTGCTCCATTACATATTTTAAGATTGCTGGTCTTTTAAAATAAACAAAACTGATTGTTTGCGTGGGTTCGTATTTTACTGATTAGGGTTCAGTCACTTTAAGGATTAGTGATTTACGGTATGCAAACCACTAAAGAAAATAGGGTGCCTACACCTTTAAACCCGCTGGACATAGCAGTAATAAGCTTCAATACAATTCACTTATCCGGATTTTAGAATTTATCCTGTTTCAATACAATTTTAAAAGGAAGAAAATACGTTTTGACGTTCTTACAGCAACTTCAATATTCTTGATTTTAATTTTGACTAATCAAACCAAAAGAACTAGGATTTAAAACAATAGATTATTCTTTCCAGTATAGGGTGATCGATTTAACTGGAGAAATGAGTTTTTCTGGGAAACGGCTGAGAAAAATAAATTATTTTAGAAACTATTGCATTTCTAATTACTTTTACTTGAAGGTAGCGTCAAAATACAGAAATTATCTTTACGACGCTAGGCGTCGCGGCGCTTCAAAAATTTTTTTCTCCAGCAACACATTTTTTAATGTGTCAAGATAAAGATCCTTTAATTTTGAATATTTTTTCTATATAACATTTTTTTATGTTCCTATTATTTAAAAAGTTGTTGTCGATTCCCAAATCGTATTTTGTTAATAAGACACCATCATAAAACTATATAAACTATTAAATGACACTATAATTTAAAAGCTTTGCTGTAATTCTCCAATGCAACTAAACAGTGAAAAACAATTGCCAAATTTTTATCTGTTGTGATAGTTTTTGCCACACATTTCTAATAGCTGTTTTACATTGACAATTTATTGATAAATTAATTGATGAAGTCGCTTCATCAAGAAATTGGACAAGTGTAATGCACCAAATCTGCTGTCAAATAACTTAAGTTCTTGACGAATTAGAGCATGTTCTAATTTTCGTCAATTTCTTCGTGAAGTTCGGAAGTACCAACCCAACAGATTTGCAGCCTCAGATCAGTAATGAGGTTATGTTATTGGAATATGTAAATAATTGTGTGGCGTCGTACTAGGTTTGTATTGTTTTTACTGATTTGTTACTTACAAACACTAATATTTTGTATAATGTGTGTCAAAACGGTACCCTGTTGTATCACTACAATTATGAGTGGAAAGGTGACATTTTTGAAATTTATTTGCTTCTTTGATTCGTTGGGAGAACTGATTCATGCGTCAAAAAAAATTGACAAAGTCTGTAGCAGTGTAAAACCACACTGTTTACCAATAAATTCGTGAATTAATTCATGAAGAACTTCGTCAATTTATTCATCAATAAATTGTCAATGTAAAACAGCTATAATAAAAGTAGTAAATTCTATTCGTTGAATTATATTTTAAAGAAATGCATGCAGGCTAGGCAAAAACTGTATTTGTTTATATTCTCAATGAGAAATGAAATTTTGATAGTTTTAATAATCATATAGAGTTTATAGAATTAATTTTTGAAGTGTTGTGATCGTTCATTAGTAGTAGTTGAAAAATAGCAGTAATAAAATGTTTTCCCATGACGAAAAAGTGGATATGCTGTTAATTTTCGGAGAAGCTTAGAAAAATGCAATATGGGCAAGAAGATTATACGCACTGAGATATGCCGAAATTCCAAATAATCAAATATTTAGCAAATTGGAAAATGTTCTCCGTCAGAATAAGAAATCATTTTTAGTTAACAGGGTGAGACAAAAAACAGTAACCGCTGATGAAAATGTGGCAATTATAATATAAACTATTCTCAAAATCATCCTGAAACATCGATTAGAAAGGCTTCGAGAGAGAGTTAAATTTAACATATAATGAAATTCAAAGATTCAAAATTAACAAATTTCATGATTATAAAATACATAGTGTGCAAGAGTTAAATCCTTTGAACAGCGAAAAAATGATATTTCTCGGTTCTTAGTTGCATTAGATGATGATCCTAATTTGTATAATCACACTTTGTGGACAGACGAAAATCATTTTATTAGTCATGGCATTCCAAACCGGAAAAATACTCATCATTGGTCGGACGAAAACCCACATAGTATGTATTAGAGAAGTTCAAAGGCAGTGTCACTTTAGTGTCAATGTATGGTGTGGAATTGTAGGGCGCCATTTAATAGGTCCATTTTTTATGATGGTGTCTTAACAGGACAGAGGTATTGCAATTTCCTTGCAAATGAAATTCCTATTCTTATAGAAAATGTGCCACTTCAAATTAGGAGACACCTGTGGTTTCAACTGGATGGTGAGCCTTACCATAATGCTGCAGTTGTTCAAAACTATTTAAATTTGCACTTTGAAAATAAGTGGATAGGTACTAATGGCCCTTTACAATTTGCTCCGAGAGCCCCAGATCTAACCCCTCTTGAGTTCTTCTTGTGGGGAGCCCTAAAAAATATTGTGAATAAAACTAAAACAAACAGTATGATCATTTGAAGCAGAAGGTCACTGAAAAAGTAACGTCCAGTGAACCAAGAAAACGTTACGAATTGTGTTTACATAATAATGGTGGTCATATTGTGTTTATTTATTTTTGTTTATTTATTTCAGTTGATATTCCTTTTCTATTTACGTATTTCTGTTGATATTTTTTATATTGCTGTGGGTATCCCTTATATCAAGGGTCGGCAACTGGCGGACCGCGGTCCAGGTCCGGACCAAGGAAGGTAAAATACTGGACCGCCAAAAATTTTTTGAAAGTATAAATTACTCAAATAAATTATTTAAAAAATGTTTTTTTTACGTTTAAGTGCCAACCTTATCATTTTTTCTAGTATTTTACAATTGTGTGAGTGTTTTGAGTTCTTAATGGTTAGTAAGCAGATTAAATTTGAGTTCAAATGAAAATTTGTAAGAAATATGAATTTTTTTTCTGGACCTCGTTAAAAATTTTTAAAAGTATCCGGACCCCATCTAAAATTACTTGCCGACCCCTGCCTTATATGAAAGGTTAAGGTGGGTTTGTAATTCTTACAAATTAATGTAATTGTTTTATACACAGTTGTGTTATTAAATTGTTTATAGGTGAATACACTTTTTACTGTAAATAGAACCATAGTTATTGATATATTGAACCAGCAAGAGCATTGAAAAAGATCTATATCGCTGACTACGTCGTTGCAATAATAATTATGAATTATGAGATAGAGAAATTCACTAGAGAATTGCCCGTAACTTTTTAAATAATGGGAACATAGAAAAATGTTATATAGGAAAAATATTCAAAATTAAGCGACATTAAAAAATGTATGTTGCTGGAAAAAAACTTTTTGAAGCGCCGCGACGCATAGCGTCGTAAAGATAATTTCTGTATGTCTGCACTAACTTCTAGTAAAAGTAAACAAAAATGAAATAGTTTCTAAAATAATTTATTTTTCTCGGCCGTTTCCCAGAAAAACTCATTTCTTCGGTTAAATCGATCACCCTGTACAAAGGACGATACCGTATCCCAAAAGTAAATTATGAAAGAATTATACCATACTCACATTTACCACTTGCACTGCTTCTTTAAAGGTTATGGTAAAAAAGGTCTACAATATTTTCAAGCGGGAAATTTAGAAACTTGTAATAAACATAAACGCAAACAACAAGGTCATGCATTTTATCTTATTAAACCAATAATTCACCACCCAGTTTAAGTTTCATACGCATGATTTACGGACTACGGTATAAACCAATTTATTGCGATTAACCACAATAATTTTCGATATTCGCCGAGAAAATATTTAAAAAGGTGGTTTCCCACGACTGCCTCAAGGTTACTAATTGTTACACCAAATTTGAATGAATGAAACGACTTCCTTAAAATGGTATTTACGTTTACGATACAATAACACTCTGAGTAGAGAAAACGTGTAGGTATAACCTTAACATATATACCAAAAGATTTAAAATTCTGTATTATTTTGATTGTTAATGATGCATCAAGAACAAAGTTTAAATGCGCTAAGTAGAATTGACTTTTAAAAAGTAAAAGTAAGTTTCTCACCTAAATTTCAACAAGAAACGTCAGAAAAGTAAAATAACTACTGTGTAATTATGTTTACGTCGCCGTTCCAACGTAAATATTACTTAGCACTGATAACTTGACTCGTATCTCCTGCGCATTTAACTGTTTGTGTTAACTACATACCCATAATAGGAGAAACAACAAAAACTCGAAAACTAAATCAACTGGAGACAAGTTTATCCAAATATTGGCACTGGAAACTCGTACACAAATGCACACACGCAACTGCACTTGAGCTTGAAATTGTGGTAGCTGGGTATAATGGTTCGCAGAGTTTACAGACAGCGTGCCACAACACAAGCTAATCGAGGTTGTAGCAGTCGTTCACACCGAGATGGTTAAGACACTGTTGCCAACTTGGAAAAACCGTGGAATTTCTACTATCACTGTTTGATAACGAGTCATCGATAACATAATTATTATAATACTTTTATCTATCTAATCCTCATTATCAATTACATTTTGTGCTTTTTATCTTTATAAATCTGTTGAAGAACAAAATGGTTATTTTTATCTTCCAAAGATTTATAATTATACATAAATCAATATTGCTGAATGGTCACATACAGGGTGTTTGTAAATAAGTGCGACATATTTTAGGGGATGTTTGCCAACATTATTTTGTGAAAAAAGTTCATATAAACGTAGGTCGAAATACGCTTCGTTTCCGAGATAGTTTAAATTTAAATTTTTTATTTATTTTTATTAATTATCTCAGAGTTTTAAAGATATTGACTAAAAATTTGAAAAACGCTTTGGAGGGATAAATGTGCATTTTTTGGGGTGATCAGAATGTTTCTACTTGAACCAGTGGCGTTCGTACGAGAACGCAATATTTTTTAATAAAAAAAATGGTATGCCACTGACTTTTTCCCGTTTTGATATTATTTTCGAAATCCGCCATCAATTCTGAATGAAATTGATCTTTTCAATTTTTTTCGTATTATGCTCCGTTTTTGAGGAAAAAATAAAACATATTTTGTTGTAGGTTTTGTCAATCTTTTATTTAAAGGTCTTTTTTAATAAAGCTTTATTATGCTCAACTGATAACGTTACATAAATAAATAACGTAATTTTGAAAATTTTGATATATTCACACTAGAAAAGTAGAAAACACTGACTGAAAATGAAGGATTAAATTTACATATAGAATAAGTTTTTAGAATCTATAAAAAAAGGCAAAATTAGATGAAAACATCAGTTTGTCAAAATAAACTAAATAATGAAAAATTTTGAATTAAATAGGCTGTAAAAGGCAACAATATATAGTAGAAAGTTAGAAAGTACAATTTTGTAGTCATATATCATATATAGGAGCATTGGTTTGAGGAAATTTGAAAAAAAATAAGATTTTGACAGATACATTGACGGAGAGGGGAGTTGACTTACAAATAAAATGCATGCAATAAACTAAGACTATAACTAAAGTTCATCATACCTTTAGTCTATATTCTCTATTCATATAGCGATTTTTGGAATGTCAAATCAATGATTTTAACATTGTGTGAAATTTGTCGTGAAAAATAGCTATTTATGCTATACGTGTTAAAAGTAAGATTTTATTTTGTGAGTGAAGATGATTAAAAAACGAGCGTAGCGAGTTTTTTAACTTCACGAACAAAATAAAATCACTTTTAACACGTATATCATACACTATTTTTTCTACAAAACTGTTAAAAGTGGGCTTTTTAATTGTCATTTTTGATGTTAAAAATGTAATTTGTTGACACGCGTGTTAAAAAATGACATTTTTAACATCAAAAATGACAATTAAAAAGCCCACTTTTAACAGTTTTGTAGAAAAAGTATTGTATAAGATGTAAAATGACCTGTGTTGTGTTAAAAATACCTTCTATTCATATAAGACTGTATTCAAATCCCAATTTACGTTCCAAGTAGTGTATAAACATTATTAATTGTCAAAAAACGGTGGACCTGAAAACATTTCAGTTATTAGTTAATTCGAACACGAAAAAAAAATAATTAAATATCAATGTCGTGGAACAGTATTATAGACAGAATTTAAGCTATATAGCACAGTTTGGTTAAATTCTCATAAATTAGGAAAATTTTGTAGTACGTTTGACAATGAACGTAATAGAAAGATATATGTATGGAAATTTGTAGAAAATTGTGTAGAATCTGAATATATCAGTGTCATGCTGCAAAAAACATACATAAAGGCATAATTTCCAGTTAAATGTAATTCAAAACTGAAAATAAAAAGTTGATATATGATATATTCTTCGATTTCGAGATAGAGAATGTTCAAAACTATTTGAAATAATCAATAAAAATAAATAAAAAAATAAAATTTAAACACTGTATCTCGGAAATGAAGCATATTTTGACCTACGTTTAGGATATGAACCTTCACAAAATAACTTCGGCAACCACCCCCTAAAATATTTCGTAATTATTTACAAACACCCTGTATAATATACCCTGTATAATATTACAGAACCCTAATTCTGATATTTCATACTGATCTTTGAAAATGGTAAATGTATAGGTACTTTATTTTTTGAAGGAAATGTGATATTACCAAATCTACTGGTTTATTTTTCTAAGATCGTATTAGGATTTTCATTTTCTTATTGCATTTTATGATTGATAAATATAATTTAGTTCCTGGGACCTGTTTTTACCAAATACTATTCAATTTTTGAACCTTCACTTTTCAATCTACATACATTTAGCAAAGTAAAGTGTAATTCTGTTTTATGAAGAAAAAGTTTACATTAATGCCATATGTTTTATGACTTTATAATTTCTCAATTTTCTCAATGTATACTCAAACTATGTGAAAATCATCCAATTTCTTTAGTTACTGTTTTTTTGAAAAAATGGCACCTTACGTCGATATCTTTACTTTTTAACCCTATGTCCATTTGCAAAGGATCACTTTTATCGATTTTTTATTTTCATCTTGCATTCAAAATAATTTGCTGGTATATTTTTGGTTTAATGAATCATAAACAAACTAAAGAAGAAAACTTATAAAAGGAAGAATTCTGGAAATAATATATAATGATCTTCGTTTTAAATAGACATGTACAAAGTACAACTAAAATAATTCAAAATATCAAGCCGGATTCTAGTTAAAGTCAACAAAAGGTTGCTGTAAACAAAGGAAGTTAAAAATCTCAAAAAATTAGATTTTTAAATTAAAAAAAAATTGCAATTTCTTTCAAATCTAGAATGTAGCTTAAATTTTTCATTGTCTGAAAATGTACATATGTATGCATATCACAGGCTTTGCAATATTTTTTTCCATTATTACATGTTACTAGAATGCACCTTTTTCGAGATAAATGATAAAATGTTAGACCACTAGTCGAGTAAGGCCTGTCAGTTAATTGTTTAGATAAGATGCAATCTTTCTAGACAATAGTAACTGTGACAGCTGACATAACATACAATTGACGTTTACAACTTATCCTGCTATAAAGAAATTATGCATATCAGATACCGACTTCAAATACCAAATCATGAATATTGTTGACTGATTATTAGGTTACAATAAGCTGATTAGAAAATGACTTTTACTTTTCAAATGTCACATTTACTCTTCTAAATGCCATTGAGAAAGTACGTCAATATGAAGTTAAATGTGCATTAAGACCAACAATGTAGAAAAATGAACAGTTGCGGAGTTCAAGGCAGATACGGAACATGAGATAAGCCTAACTAATACCCCGAGTCCTAGTGAGAGATTCGACAGCCAGGTGTTAGAAATCCAAATGAACCGTGATGGTTTCAGTCGAGACGACTGGTTAACTAGTCTAACCTAGAATTTGCACCAGAATGTCAAAAACCACGGGTCTATCCTTGAATCCTTCGAAGAGTACTGCGTATACAAAGAAAAATCAATCCAAGTTGTAAGCGAAATCAAATAATAGGCGAGTGACTTATGGTTCTTTTCAAAGTATCCTAACCGCAAACATGTTTCATCATGTCAACACTCCATATAGTCCACGGGCCCACGTACAAAGAAAAAATGATTAACTCCCAGCAAACTGTAACTTTGCGTGCAGCTTAAGTTTGACGAGTCTCCCAAGATTTGACTATGAGGAAAATTCAACAGTGGTAAGTTTTCCCGTGATTTTCAGAAAAACATGTCAATTTGGCACAAACATGGAATGTTATGACCAGCACTTTTTTTTAAGTTTAAATGAAAGATATATATTTTTTAAACCCCCCAAAAAATTTGTCCGACAAAAATGTTGGTATTTTGAGTTTGTCCCCCACCCCAAATATGTCGATTTGGTAACATTATGGTTGGTGACAACCAGAAAGCTGATTTTTTTGGGAGGGTTTGGTAATAAGATTTGAAATGAAAGTAACTTATTGTCCGATAAAATTCTTGAGAAGTTTTTGCAGTCCGACGCCCAGCAGATGTCGACTTAACGACAACAAGATTGGTGATAACCAGCTGTCGGACAAAAGCGTCATTATTTGCAATATTAATCTGAGAATTTAGTTGTCCGACAAACTTATCGTTTTTTTTTTGCTTGTCCGACAAAATTAAACGATAAAATTTTGCGGTTTCAATACTTACGCATGATGTAGACGAAAAATTTATATTTACTTAATAAAACAAAATATATGTTTAAATTTGTCAAATTTCAAAATAAATATGACTAATTTAAATTTATTTTATTATACAATTACAAAAAAATTGTATACAGGATGGTCCCGAGCTAATAGATCATGGGTAGATTCTCGAAGCAAAAATATTGCGATTTAGCCGAACTTACCTTAGTTCAAAAGTTGATAGTTAAAGAGATACAGGGTGTTAAATGTAAAATATTATTTTAGTTTTTTTTCATTTATTCCTTAACAAATGCAAATATCCTCACAAAATTTTGAGGTTTGGAGTTCTTTAAGTAGAGGAACTGAAATGTGTTCACATTTTGGCTAAAGTCCATAGAGGGCGCTAGCAGCAGTAGATCGAATGTGTTAAAAACGACATAAACTTTTTTATACTTTAAGGAAGGTATCTCATCTTTGGTATCGAATTCTTATTTTCTAACTCTTTCTTACACAAAAAAGCTACACTTTATAAAACAAGCTGTCTCGCACCGCTTTCGAGATATTTGGCTTTGAAACTTCCAATGCTGTTGAATTAAATTACAATGAAGTACCTACCTATTATTAATTTAGCGGTGAAGTTTCTTAAGTTTGGACGAAAATTAAATAATTGACATACTCCACTTGTCTTATTGCTGTCATTTGTATGCTACTGTCCATTAAGTATTATTCGTACCTAAAATTACATCTTAATTTAAATTGTGTACATAAATGCTAGATAGAACGCCGAGACTT